TCCTAGAAAAGTATTATGAGAATTTTTTTGGAAATGGATGGAAAACTGTATATCATATTGTTGAAAGCTATTACTGAATACAAGATAATAGTAGTATTTGGGGTTCTGATTGTTTTCTGAAGAAGAAGACGCATTATGGTAATGACATGGCTGCTTTACTACCTTCCTCATTCATTAGAAACCAAGTGCTTGAACATTCAACCATACCCTTGTATGGACTAAGGAAGATAGTCATTAAAGTTTCTAAGAACTACACGTTTACAGGATTCCTAACCATGACCAGTGAATACTGAAAATATTTACAGTGTGTCTTGGCTTGAGCAGAACATGATGAATGAGACCTTTGACTATCCTTGGCCAGCACCGTCCATCTGAGAAATTGCTGCATATCCTCAGATACCATCTTTGAATTTATGTTTAAAAAGCACAAAATTGTTTGCCAGTAACTTGCAGTGGGCTTGGAACAGAAGTGGAAATGTTATTTTCTCTCTCCACTACATAGTCTTTCTCTTCCTCTTTTTTCTTTTTGCGATACTAGGCATTGAAGGAAGGGACTTCTTAATAGTAAGCAAGGGTTCTACCACTGAGCTATATACACTAAGCCCTAGGAATGTCCTTTCCTGATTGCACTGCAGTGCTGCCAAAAAAGTACAGCTAGCTGGCTGTCATCTAGCATGCTCAGCAGACACCGAAGCCGGGAGCACTGGAAAGGATGGAGAATGAATGTGTAGTTTGATGTAGGGTAGGGAAGGTAGGTAGGGCTTAGTGAAAGGACAGCGTATGGTAACCAGGCTACTTTGCATTATTAAACTTCAGATGTCCAGAAATATTCCTGGACTCTATAGGATTATACCTGGAATTGAGAACTACAAGATTGATCCTGAGAGTTGTGAGAGTGAGGACAAATAGAGAGAAGGAGCAGAAGTGTAGTTAGGCATTGCTTCAAATGCTCTACTCCACATAACCTTGATCTCAAGCCACCCCCATTCTACCAAGGATTGTGTACCATGTGACAATTACAAATGACTCTTTGAGAGAAATTATTGTAAAGTGATTAATGACGGAGCATTGATGCTGCATTTAGGGAAGGTTGCCTCCATCAAGATGGTAATTTTGAAAATCTATTTAGCAGTTATCTGGATATATGGACATTCTTATATAAATCACCATGATCTCATATATGTCTGTACACTTTTTAAAATAGTGTATTGGGAGCTCTACAGGAATGAGAATGTGCCTGTGGGGAAGTATCAGGTCAAGTAATGTCAGCAGAAGACAAGAGTGAAACTGTTCTTTCCAGTCCTGACAGCCTTGGATCAACATCTTTCTTGTAGAAACACTCAGGTGCTTGCAAGGAAAGGCTACCACTGTGACTCATGAGATTCCTAATTTGCTAGCATAAAATATTAAACTATGGGTTTCCATAGCCTTCCCTATTCTCTTTAGTCATTTAGTCTTTTAGAGTAAAAGTTTTTCAGGTGAATTCTTGAAACAAAGGCAATTAGAGTGGAATAAAAACCATGAGAATATTGTCAATGAAAGAACAATGCCTGTAGGAACATGGTGTAGAAATGAGAGAAACCTGGAGTTTGGGGACACTGGGGTAAAGGAGAGTTTAGTGGTGATTGACTGTGCATTATCCTCTCAGGCTCTTTAGTGTGCGTGTGTGAGTGCATGAGTGCATGCGTGCATGTGTGCCTGTGTGTATTGCACGCACGTGGTTATGCAGAAGCTAGATCAGGACATCAAATCTTTCATTTCTGCCCTCTAGACTTGAGACAGGATTTCTCACTGAATTGGAAGCTTGCTATTTTGGTTTGGCTGGCTGGCTGGCCAGCAAGCTCTTGAGCTTCTATTATCTCTATCTCTGATGCTGGGCATATAGGCACACACAGTCATGCTCAGCCTTTTCTTCCCCCCAGTGGGTGCTGGGGATTCAAACTCAGAATAATGCTCGTGTTTGCAGAGCAAGCACTCTTATGCACCAAGCTGTCTCCCCAGATGGCATGCTTGAGAGGCATTCTGTCACAAAGATTGATGGTCGTGTTTCCTTAATCCAACATTAATCTGGGCCAGGCATGCATTCTTGGGACTTGGGAGACAGAGGAGTTTCTGATGTGGAGGTGCTTGTCACTATTTTCTAAGCACAAAACCAACCAGGCCATCTCATTACAATAAAGTGTCTCAGTTCTCTAGGATTAGCACAGAGGGTGTGGATGGTGGTGGGAATATGGTACAAGTGGGAAGACAAGGAAATCCAATCTTTGCCCTTCTGATAATAAGAATAAAGAGCAGTTTCAGGCACAATACCCTGGGAACTCTGGTTCATTTTGCTTCTCAAACAAAAATATATTAAAACAAAAAGTTCATGTGCCTCTGTCATAAACAAGGAGAGAAAAATCACTCACAAAAATTTCCATTTGTTTCAGAGAGATTAGATTTTGGAATTGAACCAAGCTGACAACTTTCTATGAAGGATACAACTTCTGGCCTGTGTGTTGTGTGGTTTCTCAGAGCATGACAGTCACTTCATCATAGATCTCTGACCATCAATCAGGACCCTGCATCTGCCTTGACCTATGTGTCTTTTTTCCATTGTTTTGGTCATTTTATGATTTGAGATTCTTCTTGAGTATTTTATAAATAATACTGTTATTCACAGTCTCAAAATAGTCAACTAAAATGATGAATATAGCCACTTCACAGTTTGCTATGGCCACCATTAAGTCTGTTAACCCTATGTTACTAGAAGCCCCAGGGAAATGATTTGGCTTTAGAGGTGTGATGTGAGTCCTCTTCTGTGAGGGTAGACTTATTTTTGTGTTTCCATTATGATGTTCTTTCAATAGTAAAGCATGACCAAAAATCAAGAAACATTTTCTCTACTTATCTTGCCTATGGGAGACAGGTTTCTGGAAGTAAAAGTTATTACTATGTGTTGGTCTTTATTTTGACTTTGTATTCCCTCTTTATTGTCTCATAAATTTTGGAAAAAAATTGTCCTTTTGTGGCTGCTCATGAACCTGTGTGCCTCACCACTAAATCCAGTTAATGCTCCACTCTGTGTTCACTGAAGCTTTGTGGAGGTTTGGGTACCACATTCCTTGAAAGAGCCTTCTCTTTGGGCTTTTATGATGTGGCTCCATCCATCTTTTCTGCATTAGCAGTTTGGGTTTCGTTTTTCAATCTCCTTTGGTTATTTTTTTTGGGGGGGTTGTGTCTTGACTCTTGATGTTCTAGATAGTTGCCTCCTTTTCCTTTGTTTATTTGCATTCTTTATTTTCTTCATTGGTTATTTAAGTATGTTAATTCCTTCAGTTATAATGCCTATGCTGCCAAGTTCAAATGTACACCTTTAGCCTATATATTTAAAAAAATAATTATGTTATGCATAAGTGTCTACAGGTGGGTATGCATGTATGAGTGTAGGACCTCATGGAGGTCAGAATCCTGGAGCTCAAGCTATAGGTAGTTTTGAGCAGTCCTTTGTAGGACCTGGAAACTGACTCAAGAATAGTATGCACTCTTAACTTCTGAGCCATCTCCCTAGCTGCAATAGACCAGGTCTTTTTTTTTTTTTTTACCTCAAATTCAACCTAGAAGTATGTACCTAGGAATTTCCACTTGACCGTCCCACAGGCATCCCTGACTCAGAATGCCCAAAATAATCTCATTTAGGCTCCAAAAGTTGCTCCTCTTCTTCTCTTAGCAAGTATACTACCCACTGTTTGTGAAAGAAAAAGTAATGACTAATTTCTACTTTTTTCTTCTTCATTCCCTATTTATTTAGTGACCAAGACACATTGAGATTGTTTGTGTGTGTTGCCTGACAATAAATTCATTCCCTTTTCTCCTGATCTTAACTTTACTCTCTCATTTTATAACTTAGGCCTTGAAATTTTATAGCTTGGATTTCTGAAAAGACACATGTTTCCGATATGTTTTGCATTTATAGCCCAAATCAACACTTCCAGAAGTGTAACTGTGATTATATCCTTCTCTTGCTTAAACATCCTTCAGTGGCTGTCCGTTGCCTTAATAATAACATCCAAAGTGCCTTTCTTTTCTGTGCCTTTTGCTCATAGCTTCCTATGCTGGACTGCTCAGAGGAGAGAGGGATACAGCAATAGTTGTATAATTAGTTATTTCATGCTTGGCTTCATCTTGCTGAGGCTGCCAATTAGTGATTTAGAGGTGAACTCTTACATGCTCTTTTGTGAAAAGAGGTCTGTTTCAAATAGCTCTTAAAGAGCCTAGTCTTGTTGTTATTAAAACCCTATCCTGACTGGAAACTGTGATCCACAGTGAATGTCTGCATATCCTGTGGCCATTTGGTAATTCAGGGAGTTGTGCTTTGGTTATGTATAATCTTGTCTAAAAGAAGACATTGACGAAATTTTAAGTGTAGTATTTCAGAGAGAGTGAGGATTATTTTTGCTTCCATCTTTCTCCTCCTTTTCATTGCTCTTCACAGAGAAGTAAGTAGATTTTCTTGGTTCTGCTGAAGGTTGTACAATGGTGTATCAGTGCCACCACTGGCACAATTCTGATTTTGGGAGAGGAAAGTAACAACAGCGAGGTGTAATCAGACCAGCAAGGAACATGCTCACTTCTGGTGATTCAGATAGAGGGGTAGAATGTAGAATGGAAAGGAAATTAGAGGGGACACACATATGCACACAAATTATATTCATAAAGATGAAGAAGAATAAGTAAAGAAGACACAAATATCAAAGATCCTCATAAGAGAAATATAAATAAAGTAATGGTTTAGATACAGAGAGAAAAAAAGGGGGAATTTTTTTCTTGTGGAAAAAAATCCATATTTTTTTTATGTTAGTAATTTATCTGTTCAAAGGATAAGTAAAATAAGGTTTATACAGGGTCAGCAATTAGACAATTACCAAGGCAAACTCATTCCCTCTACCTGTTGTTCTTGTCTGTAGCCTGAAAGGAGTTATGATTGTCAGGGGAAAAAATACCAACGTTATGCATCTTACACAAGGATGTCCTCCACTAAGGTGTGAAGGGCACTGGGATTGCGGATCAGTTTGTCAAGGAAGCTGACGATGTCTGTAAATTTTGGCCTGTGGTTTCTTTCTTTCTGCCAGCAATGGAGCATCAGCTGGTGCAGAGACGGTGGGCAGCCCATCGGAGCCGGAAGTCTGTAACCTTCTTCAATGGACAAAATAACCTAAGTGCAAACATACACAGATTACTGGCTTACTTTTGGTGACAAGATGTGCGTTTAAGCAACTGCATCTTTATATGCAAGTGGTAAAAACCAAAATAATAACAAGCATGAAAACTGCTTAAGATGACGCACAGGGCCCAAGCAAGGGTAAATATCTAAGTTCTGAACGGCAAGTTCTGGTGACTCAAGAGCATCCGCTGCCCCTTTGGGGACGAAAATGTGCTGTGAGCATGTGCTGCTGATGTACATGTAGTTAAGTTTCATCACAGTCTAAAGAAACAGCTTTTGTGTAACTACTAGACCATCTGAAACCCTGATGGCCCCATCAAAACGGCAGCATGATGTGCAAACTGTATGTGACAAACAAATGTGTTTCTTGAATCATTTTTCATCCTCCTTACAATAAGGGCAGTGTATTTTTAAAACCCATCATTCCCTCTTTCTTGCTTATTTCGGTTCTCCTTTAGACTTTGGATTTTCTATAGTCTGACACTGACCAGGCAATGAAGTTGTTTTCGCGTAAACCCTAAGGCAGTTCAAAATATGGAAAGCTAACAATGGCAAACATCAAGACCTAAAACCACAGGGACACTCAGTCTGAGTTACCCAATAGGTCCTTCTCTGGTGAGGCGGAGGGGCTGTCTCTGTAGGACATGGTGGTGACTAGTTAGTTGTGTGTGGCCACTGTGGAGCTAGTAGGAGTGAGGGACTGAAATTTTGATCTTGGTTAATGTTAATTCACTTATTAATTTTAAACTCCCACTTGCTGTCCAGGTCTGTAGAAAGGAATCTGCACAAGAGTTAACAATGAAAATGAGATGACAGTCTGGCGGTTAGAATCCACTTAGAGGCCAGGTAGGCATTTTTGTTTGTTTAATGTATCACCTGCCAGCCCCTCCCATGAGGAATTTCCTCAAGATGGACTAAAATTAATTCTGAATTCATATAGGTGAGCTTTTGAAGAGCAGATTAAAGGTAGTCATTTGAACCTTTGTACATCGTCGATGGGGGAGTGTGTGTGTGTGTGTGTGTGTGTGTGTGTGTGTGTCCAATTTAAAAAAGCAGGGAAACTGAGGATCAAACATAAAACAGATATTAATCAAATTCACCCCTCAACCAACAATAAAAATATAAAACTTAATGTTAACATCACTGTGTTAAGAATTCTGTTGCAGGATCATCTACATATACTCTATGTTTTTTAAGGTTAGTATTTTTTATCATTTTTAATTTTAAAACAATCTTTTTTCATTTTACATACCAATCCCACTCCCTCCCCTCCTCCTGCTCCCCCACCTCACTCCCTCTACACTCCTCAGAGAGTCAACAAAATCTGTCACTTTGAGGCAGGACCAAGTCCCTCTCCCAATATCTAGGCTGAGCAAGGTAACTTACCAAAAAGAATGGGCTCCAAAAAGCCAGTTCAAGCCCTGACACTGGGACCAGGATTTATCCCTAGTACATGAACTGGTTTTTTGGAGTGTTTTTTTAATACTGACATCTCATTTTAATCTCTTCTTAAAATGACACCATTTGACATTACTGAATTTATAACAGATGCAATTTATAAAAAGAAAGCATTAATATTTCTTCAGGATCCTCTTAATTGCTAAGTTTCAACTTTTTCAGTATCAGAGAATTTCTTATGATCACATCAATATTTTTGTGGTTATAATACTGTGTGTGTGTGTGTGTGTGTGTGTGTGTGTGCAATCTCGTGTGTATGTGTGTGAGGAAGGCAGAATTTACTTCAGCTGTCTTCTTGGGGCATTGCTCCCTTTTGAGGCTGGGTCTCTCACTGAACCTGGAGCTTACTGGTTTGGCCACTCTAGTTGGCCACTGAACCCCTGGGATCTATGTGTTTCTCTCCCATCCCAAGGCTGGGGTTATGGGTATGTGCTGTCACACTCAGTTTCATACATGAGGCTGGGGGAGCTAAACACGACATTGGGTACTTTACTCATGGATTTTTCTCCCAGAATACTTTTTAGTAATTTATTTTTTAATAATTATTTTTTCAATTTTTAAATTAGAAACGAAATTGTTTTTCATGTCAACCCCAGTTCCCTCTCCTCCCCTGCTACCCACTAACTTCCTATCCCATCCCCTTTTGCTCCCCAGGTAAGGTGAGGCATTCCATGGGGGATCATCAAAGTCTGTTATATCCTTGGAGCAGGGCTTAGGCTCTCCCCATGTGTCTAGGCTAACATAGTATCCCTCTATGTCGAATGGGCTCCCAAAGTCCATTCATATTGTAGGGGTAAATACAGAGGCCCCACAGATTGCCAAAGCCTTTTCACTGACACCCATGTCCAGGGGGTCTGGATCAGTCCTATGCTGGGTTCCCAGCTATCAGTCTTGGGTCTATGAGCTCCCCCTTGTTCAGGTCGACTGTTTCTGTGGGTTTCTCCAGCCTGATCTTGACCCCTCTGCTCATCACTCCTCCTCCCTCTCTGTAACTGGATTCCAGGAATTCAGCTCAGTGTTTAGCTGTGGGTGTCTGCTTCTATTTTCATCAGCTACTGAATGAAGGCTCTAGGATGGCATATAAGGTAGTCATCAATCTCACTATCAGAGAACGGCATTTAAGGTAGCCTCTCCACTATCACTTACATTCTTAGTTGGGGTTATCCTTGTAGATCTCTGGATCTTTCCCTAGTGCCAGATTTCTCTTTAAACCTATAATGGCTCTCTCTATTAGGTATTTCTTTTCTTGCTCTCCTCTATTCTTCCCATCTCAATCTTCCTGCTCCTTCATATGCTCCTCTCCTGGTCTCTTCTCCCCTTCTCTTTCTCCTAACCCCCTCTCTCCTCCCCCCATGCTCCCAATTTGCTCAAGAGATCTTGCCCCTTTATTCTTCTCCAGGGTATCACGTATGTCTCTCTTAGAGTTCTCCTTGTTTCCTAGCTTCTCTGGTGGTGTGGATTGTAGGCTGGTAATACTTTGCTCTATGTCTAAAATCCATATATGAGTGAGTACATACCATGTTTGTCTTTTTGTGACTGGGTTGCCTAGCTCAGTTCCACCCATTTGCCTGTGAATTTCAATCTTCCATTGTTTTTTTCCTCTGAATAGTACTCCATTGTGTAAATGGACCACAATTTTTCTATCTTTTCTTCAGCTGAGGGAGATCTAGGTTGCTTCCAGGTCTCCCTGAATATTTTAATTCTCAGGGATATTAATGTTTTACTATTCATTTTATGTTACATTATCTAATATATTTTTCTCATATTTCTTTCTTCTTTATTTTCCTGACTGACTTTGATACCAAGTAGGCTTGAGATTAATTCACTTTGTTACATATTTTAGTAAAACAGAAATGGATAAGAATGCCTGAAATCAATCTAAACTCCTAAGAATAGCTTCTGGAAGTAATTATTAAAAATAGGACAAAATGACTTTAGAGAACAATTTTGAGGTTGTGCCCTGGGAGTGTGAGAGTCAATTTGCCATCCTATGTGATTAGAAGTGCATAGAATAAAACAGTGACAAGTGAAGCAATGTCAGGAGGGAAAGGTTGTCTTTATTGAGTATTTTCTATGTGCTTGGTCCTTATACCTTTTTTTGTTTACTTCTTAAAATTACTCAGTATGGTGGTTACTACTATCATGCCTTTTTACATCATAAAATGAGAGGTAGTGAGATTTGGTTACATTCTCATAGTTACTATGCGACAGAACAAGGACCTGCATTTAATTCCTTGTGACCAGTATCTGGTCTTCCTCAGATACTGGTTTTAATTTTCCATGACAGAATGTTTTCCTTTCAAATTTTATACCATAATGCTAACATGAATACTGCTTACCTTGTTAGCCTTTGTCATTATACATGTTAATTTGACTTTAGCATTTTTATTTGGGCCCTAAACTTAGTATTTTCAGTAAATTAAAAAAATCCCTTTGCAGTCTATAAAAGGTAATGTTTAACCAAGTCATCACTTCTGAATGCTTCTGAGTCATACACACACCTCTACTATTGCATCTATTATTTTTATTGTATTTTTTCTATTGGCTTTTCTCAGGTTATATATACACAAATGCAGGAATTATATCTCTGGGTTTTTCCCCAAGGACTAACTTCCATAGCCCCAGAAGAGGCTATGGAAGTTACCAGTGGAGGGGAGCAATCAGTACAGCTATCCATCAGTCTGTGATGCCTGTGAACAACAACGATGACCAGCAGGGCCAGATGCTCTAAAGGTTCAGTAGCAGCACTTATATCTGGGAAGTAATTAACAACTATCTAATTGTTTCACACGGGAAATCATGCCTGGTACCCAGTGGTGAGTGGGGATCTTAGACAAGAACTTTTTAACCCTATTTTTACTAAATTAGCGTAATTATTAACTACATTCTAAATACTTATGCCCACAGTTAGTGTGGTGTGACTCCTAGTCCTCAATAAGAAGCTCCTCTTTGCAGCAGATAGAGACCATCACAGAAACAACAACTGATCATAGGGTGCTCAGCACCAGTGGATACGTCTTCAACACAACTCCTGCACCCAAGGCTCAGAGAACATTGCAGAAGATTGGGTGGAAAGATTACGTGAGCAAGAAGACCAGGGAATCCACTGAGTTTGTATCTCCTAGAAATGACAAGAAGGCTACAGCTCCGATTCCTCAACAATAGGGCTGCCTAAATAATACCTGAGCAACAGTACAAATAAACACACTAATGTGGAAATCTCATGGACTGCATCCCTACAGGCAACTAAGGTTGGTTATCCATCGTCCAGTGGTGAGTCCTGAATTTGTGTACATGCACATAATACAGAATGAACTCTGAGGGTTGTGTCTTTGCTCTTAGATAGTATATAACAGACAAAGAAGACAAAGCCAGGGATTTGAGAGGGAGCAAGGTATGCACATGTGTGGGAGACATGGGAAGAGTCAGAGTAAGGAAAGGGAATAGAGGGGAATGATGCAATTAATTTTTAATAATAAAAAGGAAAGCCACTTCTGGGAACAGAGGTAACTAATGCCTTTTCTGTACTTTAC